TAGTCATAAAAACAATGTTGTAATAAATACAATTTCAGCTAAATAAAACTAATCCAATATTGTGCTATCATTCATTACGAAATAATTTAATTTCTATTATTACTAAAATTATTGAATAATATTTTTATCGTTTATTTATTTTCTTTTAATATTTAAATTATTTACTATTCAAATGCCAAGCAAAAAATGAGTAAGACTCTAAGAGGATATGACTTGTAGAGGGATTGTGCAACTTCTTTAGTTTCGATTGGAAAAAAATTGCAATTCAAGCATAGCAATTTCAAAATATTTATTTTTTCTAAATATTTATTCTGACAATCAATGATTCAGTGGAATTTTTCCTTATTTTCTCATCCATTTACGATTGCACTCGCCAGAAAACTTACAAATAAATAGTTTGCTCAATATCTAGCATCTAGCATCGATAGCTTATTTATCGCTTATTATTTTTAAACAAAACCAAGGCAGTTTCGTGAGGATAAACTTCACGTTAATAAAAAAAATTCAAATGTTTCGGTTAAAAAATTTTGAAAAATTTGCTTTGAAGCAATTAAATCGCATTTCGTTTTTAACGCTGTCTTTAGTGTAAAATAAAATAAAAATGTTTAAATTTTCTGTGTGTTGGCAATATCAGCAGCAGCCAGTAGAGGTGAGCTTTTAAAGCTTTGCTTCCATTACGGTATTGCCAGTACACTTTGAATTTAACTTTAACGATGAATTTTTGCCATTTCAATATAAGCAAAACAATAACATTTCGTTGAGTTTATTTTAATTACTAACGAAATGAATGAAATGGTAATTTTTCGTCTGATGAAGCCTTTCACAACTGATTACACAACCCCTCACATAAGAGTTAATGAGTAATAATAGTGATACATATTTATGATAATCGTGTGTAGTGTAGATTTGCTTGCAATTGAAGGTTGCCAATAATGCAGATTCTACAAATATCATATTTCACTTTCAACTGTTATTCTCGGTTCTTAATTTAGGTTAGGATATTTCTATGCATACGCATACATATATATGTATTTTTTACTAATAATTAAGTTTTTTCTTTGCATAATATATGTTATTACAACTTGAATTATGTTAGTTTTCTTCGCTTGAGTTTTCTTAGTTTTAATTTTTTTTATTACCACTGGAGACTTACAACATTTTATATATTTGTGTATTGTATGAATGTTTGTATATATTGTAGGTATATATATATAAAATTTGCTTTTGTTTATTTCTTATATGTAACGAACATACGCCATTGTCGATATTGATGATATCTTTTTTATTTCTTTATTTAAATTATATTTAGTTTTTTTATTTATTTATTTATTTTTTTTTGTATATTATTTTATTATATAAATACATATTGCAACGATTTTATATTAATTTTTTTTATATATTTTTTTTTTTTTTTATATTTATGAAATATCAATTAATTGAAGCACCATTTCCTTTTAGTTTTCTTCTTTACTTTTCGCACAAATTCTTTCATCAAATACGTTTGAGAAAAAATTGAAATTTTTCAAATTAAAAAATTACAGTAATTACGCTCTTACGACATACATTTATCCCTAGAAAAATAGAGAAAAATATTTTTTTCTGATGAAAGTCGCAGGTTTAACATTTTAATTAGACTTCGTACATTGTTAAATGACTTTCACAAGTTCCAAAGCGTCAAAGTTTTTGCGCTTAATAAATATTTAATTAGTACATATTAGAGTAGATAGTATAAGTAAATATTTGCAAATATTGTATAAGTACAAAATATCGATATGCCATATTGTAATTTGTATTGTTTGTGGTTATGTCTGAGTAAACTCCAATGAACTTTATGCTTTGACTTAAAAACATTGCCGTAAACCGATTAAGTAATTCACACAAGTCGGAAATATCGTAATCAGTCAGTTGCACACAAGGAAATCGCATATTCAATTATGTTCTTGAACTTCAGGAAGTTAAACAGATACAAATTAAAACTAGCTTAGGCGACTATTTATTACAAAAATCTGCATGTCCGCACTTGCATTCCATAAATGCATTAATGCTAAAGGGCACATTACAAATGCATTGCGATCATTACAGAAAATTCAAAATAATAATGAAATAGGTAAAATCAGAAGGAAATTAATTTGCTTTATACTTCTTGCTTTAGTTAGCACTATACCACAGTCGAAAGCAACGCTCAAACGAAATTTGATTTGACATTACGACGCTGTGAATAGCTCTGTTCGGTGAGAAATGTCAATGAGCATTAGCCAGTAATGAAATGACAAAATTGCTCTATCTCGGTTCAAATTTTACTGGGTGTTTGTATCACCTAATTCTGCTCAATTTGGCTCTTCACAATAGCATATTTATGTCAGCTATTGCTTGGTTTTCATAAATAACCTCTCCCCAAAAAAGCTATTAACTCATGATTTTTAATTAGAACGGCTCGACTTTTCACAAGCAGATGAAGCTTAATGGCACTGACCAGAAGTACTAAACCTGAATATTTGAACTTTTTTTATTAGAAAATAAGTGTGAAAAGTTTCTGCTCATTTGCCTGCACGAACTTTGATCTGCCTTTAAAAATTGTTCGGCTTCAGATTCGATACTTAAGGTATTGTATTCGAATTTCGTAAGCCGTCGAAGATTAATCCCGAAACTATAAAGTACTGTAACCAAACAATGTAATGCAATCTGTTTAGGACCGATTTTTACAATTTTTTTCCGAATTATTATTTTTTTAGCAAACCAAGATAAAACAGATTTTTTGTCAAAAAAAATTTGAGTAAGCAAATTGAATTGGATTAAAATAACCAATTTGTAGTTTTGAAGAAATGGAAGGACCTACAGTTTATACAAAGCCGCCACCGAACTGCTGATGGTTTTTTATGAGAAGCCATTATTTCATGCCAGAGTGGGGTTGCCATTCCCAGCCAAGCGGCGACCGCAATTAGAAAATTTAACTTAAGTTTTTATTGAAATTAGTTTACGATAAGCTTTTGAACTTCTTTTTAGAACAACATTTGTATGAATTTTTCTTATATATCACAATAGAAAGCAACTTTGGTTCCAACATAAAAATGACATATACATATAATTAAAAATAAAATGAATTCTTCGAGAAAAAAATGAAATGTTGGGGTTAAATAAATATCGTAATTTCCTTACGCATGCGTCAAAGAGTAATTTTTCGATATCTTATGTACTGTACGGACTAAGGAATTTTAGTCACAATATTATTTTATAATTTAATTGTATTTATTTTGATATTTTTTTTTATTTTTGACATACATATGTATGTAAATGCTTGTATACATAACGTTTTATAATTGTGTTGTTGGAATATAACTATGTTCACTTGATTCATAGCAATTTGTCGCTAATTATGTGGTAGCATGGCAATATGGCAATGATTTCAGTCCTTCAATTCTATTACTTATTGTTTAATTTATCTTAATTGCACATAAACATTTGTAAATCCATAGGTATAGATGTTAATATTTAATATCAACACTTTTCATTTTTATACTTTATTTAATTACCTTAATTATAGATGTATGTACGTAAATATGCACTCGCAATTTCAATTTAATCTGTTTTTTTTTTTTTTTTTTTTTGTTTTGACGTAAGAGCAACTGTTTGTCACAACTGCTGCGCGCATCAATACATATAGATGTTTGCTCAAACTGCAACTACAACTAATTTGCATATACTCATACCCTGCAGGGTATGCATCAGCTTCATACTAATTGCATACTAGTTTTTATAGGAGTTCCGAATTTCTTCTTCACCAAAAAAAAAATAATTAAAAAAAATTAATAAAATAAAAGCACGCGAGAATCGAACTGAGATCCTGACGCACCTCTAACCACTTGGCTTCGTCATGAGACAGGAGAGTAGCGAATTCTGCTCACTTCAACAGAACTTTTTAGGAAATGAAACTCAACTATGGCATACTAAAAAAAAACTAAAAAAACATACCAATCACAGAATGATAAAAAATTTCTGGTTCAGCAAAAATTAAAAAAAAAAATAATAAAAAATTAAATTACCTCTAGTGAGACTTGAATCGGGAACCTAACATCCTACTGCGATTACCTCTAACCACTCGACTATCATGACGATGAAACGATCAAAGTCATTTTGCGCACTCAACTGCGGCATACCGATATAACAACAACAAACGGTGGTGGAAATTATTACTTCTCCCGTTATATGCGGACTTCTTTACAAATAACGAACTGGTATGATTTCACCTTCAAAATACTAGTGTATTTAACTAGAACTTTTGCATACTAGTCCACTTTTTCCCTGCAGGGTAGTTAAATTTTTGTATATATATATATGTATGTTAGAATGCGCAAGCTAATACGACATTAGTTAATTTTTTAGATAACGTTCTCGCTGTTTGAGGACATCATTCTCATATTTAAGTTCTTAATTGCCGCTGCACACTCTCGTCGTCAATCGCTTTCACACTCTTATTCGTCATTATTACTTATTTAATTATCTATTATTTGCTTAATAATCGTACACAGTTAAACTTTATAACAATGACTTCTTATTGCACAATTGTTTGTTATGCAGTTAGGTTTTGCATAGGTTAACGCATAAATTCATACATATCAACTTTATTTATTTAGTACTCTTAGGAAAATGGTTAATATAATAAGAGGGCGGATGAATTTTATTATTGGAGGGTGATTTAAGTTTTGTTATAAAATTGTAGGATAAATCGGTTTACTAGAAAATTTGTATGCAGCAATATTAGAATGTAAGGAAAATTTTCAAAAAAATCGGTTGAGATACGCATTACATCCATACATACAAAATTTACGCTAAAATCTGCATCGAATAGATAAAAAGAATTTAATTTTTCCTTTTGTAAATAATGAAGAGAAAAAGAAAATAAAAATTCAACTATACCATTGACTGACATATATATAGAATTTTGTTTATATAATATTATTAAGTATATATATAAGTAAAACAATTTATTAAATCAGTCAAGCTGTTCCCAAAAATATAATTACTGCCTTAGCTGTGACAACCCGGTCGGGTCATTAATCTTGCCTTTCAACGAATCAACATGTCTTACTGTTTTTTTTTAAATTACTCATAATTTCTTTTTTAACTTTTCAGAATTAAGGATTTCGTTTATCCAAAAATTAGGTAATATTGTATGTTTCTGAAAGCACTGAAAAAAATCTGCTTAAACTCACGAATACAAATAAAAGCAAATTATTTATGCAATACGCAGCAGTCAAAACCATCTCTGAAGCAGTTGAAAAAGAAGAAATTGGCTTGTTGGTCTCTCAGGATGGTGCAGATTGTAAAGAAAAGCGCCTGCTCTTCTCTTGCTCCTCTTTTACGAAATGGCCTTGAATAGTAGGTAACATGACCAGTGCTTTCCACTCTGATGCCTACCGGGCACTATCAGCTCCAATTAAGGGTAAGACCAGAGTATATATGTACTCTTATCAGACAGACCATTGGCTATTTTTTCCTTTCCAATAATATGACGTAAACTCAGCATGCATCGGCACAAAATTTAAGGAGAAGAGCAACTTAAATCTACCTTCGATATTTCCGCATGACTGTGACAGACGTGCCATACTAAGTTTTCCATGCTTGTTGGAGTTGATGCAAATTCTTAACACACCATTTGGGGCGCTAATGATCATAGAATTTAAGGTGAGTCTCTACTTTATTTCATTCTTCTTAATAACCCAGATCCTCTTCTAAACCTCATTTAAAAAGCAGGTATTAGACATTACAATGCTTTCAAACTGATTTTCTGATCAGATCACCGATATCATCAGATTGACTGACAGTCTCTATCTGGCATCAGTGGCATTGTTTGTCATAGGAAGTTGGAATGAGCGATAAAATCTTTTGAACTCTTTAGAACGCTAGTAACAAAAGCACATTGTTCCCGTTGATTTTCGGATATTATCTTCCACTGTCAACACAAAGCGCAATCAAGTCAGCTTGGGACGAACACTTTCTGCGCTCTTTTGAGCATCGCCCGAGTCACAAAAGAGAAGGCGAATACATTTTCAATATCATATAAACTGTTAGTTTGTAATGGTGATTCTTTTGAACGAATATTTTGCCGCCGAGGTTAAAAATCTGTAGCATACAAATAAAATTTTATGATGCAAACAATTGAGATGGATAGTCAATGGTGTTATCTGTAGAAATTTGAAAAAAAAATTCACCACAAAAGGTACTCCATAGAAGTCGAAAAAAATCTTGGAGGGTCATTGTCAGGCTTTTATTTTATCTTATTACTTATTTTATCCTTTACTTATGCATCTCAAGGTTTTAGTCCTCATTTAGGCCATTCAACTCGACGCTCTGCGATTCGAGATTGCGTTTCAAATCCGCAATTGTGCTGAGAATCATTTGCTTTTTATGAGTCTCATGAGTGTTAGCGGCAGAGTAGTCATTATCGCCATTCAAGTAATCGCCGCAGGCCTGATTCAAGTCCTGGCTTCGGCTATTCAGACGTGGATTGGAGTTTTGCCGCTCGCGACGCCGCAAACTATGTATCTTAGCCAACATTGCTTGTTTAGGTATTTCTAAAAGATATAGACGATAAATATAAGCAAACTACGCTGGAAAATTCACTTTTTTTAGAGTCACTCACCCGCTTCTAAATCGAAACTCTTCTTAATGCGTTCAAATGTTGAGCTGCCGCTGTAAACTTTCCTCTTGAGCGGCTCACTCTGCGGACATGCATGTAACATTCTCGCCTGCCAGTCTTCCACTGATTTTCCTGATTTCACCTTCGAGTTAGCCACATTGTGATTGCTCAGATCTGCTTCATCGTAGCGTGAAAGTCGCGCAAACTCTGGCAAATAGTTGTGATTTACTGCATCCACGACTGCGGCGCTACAATCATCTCTACTCAATTCACCACCGTCACACTCGTTTTGGGTTTCCGATTCAGAATCACTATCGAAATTTTGAGTTCGTTGCAAGAATCCACTGAACTTGTGTCGCGACACTGGTGATTGACTACGGAAACGACGCTCCTGCAATGGGGTGCCAGTTGGACTCTGTCGCATGCATCGACCATTCAATTGCAACTGTGGCGACTGCGGTGGTTTCGTGGTATCTAGTGCTTTGCGTGGCGGCACCTCGGGTGGCACATTCTGATTGATGAAATTTGTTAAGTGGGTTTTGCGTGGACTGCAACGACTGAAACGTGGGCTGTTCGGTGCAGAAGCCGGCGCATGTCTCAGTAAATCTATACGACGATTAATGGCAGCAGCCAGGTCTTGTTGTTGCTGCCTCTGTTGCTTCTCGGATTGCATGGCATCCAAAGAACGTTGTTGAGCTTGTTTCAACTGCTCGCGTCGTGTATCGGCCTCACAGTTCTTCAGCATTTCTACGCGTTTATTGGCGAGCGGATTGACTCGACGTGGACTAGAAACAGGTGTGTCGCGGGGAATACTAAGGGATATGGATTTATAGACAGTTTATGTTTACTTGATAAGCAGTACATACCTTTGCATACTATTTTTCATGGAGACCAAAATCGACTCAGCTTCTTGTATGAGTTGCCTGTATTTAACATCAGCCTCTAAGTCTGCTTTCAACAAAGCCCGCTCACTCTCAGCGATAGTCATAAACCGCTTTGTGTCACGCACGTCCGTAAACACCAGTGAGCTGGATCGATGGGCGAGTGGTGAAGTCTCGTATATTCTGTGAGTGAGAAATAATTAATTAAAATATGATTTCTTCAGCTCAGCAAACAGTTACCTATTTACAGCTGTGATATGTCTTTGCCTACGTACGCACACTGGCGTGCCGCCTACACTGCGCGATTTGCGTGGCTTGTGCGGAGATTGCGATTGTTCCGTGCGATTTTCCGCACTCTTCTTGCGTGTTTTCAAAAAACGCTTACGTCGACGTTGCGAACAACTTCCAGGAGCTGATACGCCATTACCAGCCTCTTGTTTCGCATTTCGCGAATTTCGCCGCGAGCGTACAGAAACGCGGGTCTCACTGTTCCGTCGCACTGATTCTCGCTTTGGACTGTAGTAATAACAGCTGCCCAAATTGCAGTCGGAATCCTTTCGCTCCGAAACCTCTTGCATGGATGAGGTATCAATGAAATCTATGTCAAGCAGCTCATCAGTGTCGCACTCATCTCCTGCATCCTGTCCAGTGTCCAACTCCGAAGGGCAATCTGTTGGGTCAGAATCACTGCTACAAGCGTACAAAACATAAGCTCATTAAAAATGCATCCTCAACGCAATAAGTGAGCGATTTTGCCTACCTCAGTATATCAGTCTCCTTCTCATAAACATAACTCTCGTCGAATTTACCCATCATCTCGTTCAGTGTGGCATCATCGTCACTAAGTGCCGGCTCTCTATTCCTACCAGCACGCTCCCCACCTATAACGCATACACCCGCTAGAGCCGCAGCCAACGGCTGTGCAACCTTAACTTGCAATTGTTCGGCGCGTTTCCGGCGCACAGTGTTCGGTGTGTAAGTCCTTTGCATATTCTCCACTTCAGTCAAGGACGAAGAGCTCTCTGTCGACTCATATCCAGTAACCGCCATACCGCCATTGTGCCTGTAAAGCAGATAAACATTAAGTGTTTTAATTATGGCCACCATTGTTCTGCTTGTTTTTATTTTATGCCCACCAAACAAACTTAGCTCGTGTGCATTAAAATAAGTTACAAGAAAGTACAAGTATTCGATTGCGCTTTTTTCGTTTTTGAACGGCCACTTACATGTCACTTGTCTGTTGGATGTGTTGCACTACCCGACGTCCATCTGTTGGTGCATTACTAGATCTCTTGCCTGAAGATGATGTGCTTACGGCATCATGGTCCCTACGCCCTCCATCCGAACTTCCACTCGTCACCATCTTACTATGCTTGTGGTGCCGCATTGGCGTGCTTAACGCCTCAGGCGTCATCGTTGAGTGTGCTGACGAGGAAATCGTCGACGTGTCAGATGTTGTAGACATCGCCGTTGGCGGAGGCTGGGTTGGTGGTGGTGGTGGCAAAAATGTAAGCACATTCTGTACGCTTACGTTACCTGTAGTTTGTGTGTTTGCCTCCGATGTGAGATACCAAGGATTCGTGCGAATACGGCAACGTTGCCTTGGGGAGGGTGCTACACGAGTGAATAAAAGAAAAGGAGAACATATTTTGAAGCATGACAATAAAGGACTTCAATTTATGATATTGCTTATCGAAGTCAATGATTTTGTTTATGCTCGATGATGAAATCTCAAATAAGACTTACATTCAAAACCCTTCAAGGTGGGTATAACAATGGCATTACGCAAGGCTAAAGGGCTGTGTCGTCCAATGTTGTCTGGATGCTTAACATTATGTGAGGTATCCAGTGGAATGAAAGGCTCGTGATGCATGCCGTTGTTGTTACTGCAGCCTTGGCCCATATCATACGAATCGGCGCGTTTGTACAGACCGGAGGCATTGGCAAATGATGTCTTTGGCTGCAGAAGTAGAAAATGACGTGAGTATTACATTTAAAGGCTTTACTATTTGCAAATCTATTTTTTTAAGGAAATAGAAAAAGCAATGCACCTGAGTTTGACTCTTTAATGAGCTGTGTGCATAAATGAGCACAAAGTAATCAACATTTGGACTAGTACTAAGCTCACAGTTTGAAACTTCACTAGCAACATTGATTGTTCAAGGAGGTAAAAGGCATAATATTAAAGAAATTTATCACAACAAATAAAAAAGGTACACAAAATAAAATGAAAATTAATAAATATAAGTTTTAAAATAATAAAATTAAATTAAATTAAATTAATAGATTTAAATAAAATAAAAGCAAAATAAAATGAAATAAGTTCAATAAAATAAAATAGAACAAAATAAAATATAGTAAACTAAATTAAAGTCAAATAAATTAATATAAAATACAATAAAATTAAATTAAATAAAATGAAATTGAAATAAAATAAAACAGAACAAAAAAAATAAAACAAACTAAAGTACAGTAAATAAAATTAATATAAAATACAATTAAATTAAATTAATATAAATAAAATAAAAGTACATGAAATGAAATTGAGATAAAATAAAATAAAATAGAACAAAATAAAATAAATCAAACTAAAGTAAAGTAAAACAAATTAATATAAAATACAATAAAATAAAATTAAATAAAACTGGAATAAAATAAAATTAAATTAAAATAATTAAATAAATAAAATACAATTAAATTAAATAAAACTGGAATAAAATAAAATTAAATTAAAATAATGAAATAAATGAAATATAATTTAATTAAATAAAACTGGAATAAAATAAAATTAAATTAAAATAATGAAATAAATAAAATATAATTTAATTAAATAAAATGAAATTGAAATAAAATAAAACAGAACAAAAGAAATAAAACAAACTAAAGTACAGTAAATTAAATTAATATAAAATACAATTAAATTGAGTTAGTATAAGTTAAATAAAATAAAATTAAAAAAATAAAATAAGATAAATAAATAAAATTTAATTATATGAAATGCAATTGAATAAAATAAAGTTAAATTAATTAAAATGAAAAAATAAAATAAAATTAAAAAAATTAAATTAATAAAATAAAATGAAATAAAATACAATAAAATAAAAAATGAAATAAAATAACATAATATAAAATGAAATTATATAAAAAAATAATAAAATAAAAATGAAAAAATAAAGTAATGTGAAAATAAATAAAATTGAAAAAAAAATTAAATGAAGTAAATTAGAGTAATATAAAAATAACGTTTAATTTAATTTAAATTAAATTAAATAAAATACACTAAAATAAAAAATATAAAACAAAATAAATTAAATAACTTGAAGTTAAATGAAGTAATTGTTCATTAAAATTAAATAAAATAAAATAAAAAAAATAAAATTAATTAATTAAAAATAAGGGAAATACAATAAAAAATAATTAAGTTCAAGCAAAATAATATAGTATAAAAAAGGTAATCAAAAGAATAAATAAAATAAATGCAAAGTAAGTGAAATAAAATAAAATTAAATTAAATTAATAAATCATTGAAACTAAATAAAATTTGTTTAAACAGAATTAGTAAAAAAGTAGCATTGTTTTTCATACTCTAATTATAGCCTCTTACCATTGGATCGATGGGAGACATTTCTTCAATTTTATTCAGACCAAACTTGTAACGCTGTGCCTCAATAGCCAGTGAGTTGACGCTCTTCGGAAAATAATGTGTGCCTGTACGCATATTAATGTAGTACTCAGGTGGCGTGTAAATGGCGCCTGGCGAAGTACCATCGGTGGAGTAGCCAGTAGAGTAAGCACTCTCCGGCGAGGAGAGACTATGCAGCGGTGCTCCCACTACACCAGCTACTTGCTGCTGCGCACCATTCAAAGCAGCATGACCATTACCAAAACGTCCGCCACGCAAGCGGGCTCGTTGACAGTGCACTCCTCCCAATCCGCCAGCTTGGCCCACCTGGTGATTTACCACAAATTCACCCGAATTCGTACTCATCAAACCCATACCAGAATACTGATACTGTTGAGATATATACTCAGCGCTGCCACTTCTCACGTACTTAACCGAGCCGTTTGCATTCAAACTGTCACTCGAATTGCTGCAGCTCTGTATCTTCGATGGCAAGAGACGTCCGTAGCGTGTAGATGCGTCATCCTGTGAGCGTCGATCGGCGTAAAGAGAACGTATGGGCGTGAATGAAGTGAGTTGCTCTGATTTGGGACGTTCATGCATTAGAAATGGATTCGTGTTGTTATTGTTGTAAGTGGAACTACAATGCTCGGGATGACGTAGAATGGTGCGTATCTCCTCGTAATGAACGGTATTTGGATCCTCTTCCACGTAGTGGCGCAAATCGGTGGTACTGGCATTTTGTTGTTCGGCTGTTGGTAAAGACTTTGAAAGCAATTTGTTATTGTTGCCACTGATTTGGTTAGTGTTGTTATTGTTGCTATTGTGATTGGTGCTTGAGTTCATTGAAGGTTCTTTGGAACCGGTGGACCATGACAAGGACGAGATCGATGATGAGGAGCAATCGGCGGGATGCGGTTGTTGTTGTTGCTGAAGTGCACTATGTTGTAGCTGTGTCTGCTGTTGCTGCTGCTGCTGCTGTGCCAACGGCATAGGCTGACTATATGATTTTGCATATGGCTTTGTTTGCATTGAACGCTCCTCACTAGAATTATCCTTACTATTTGGTGCCGTATAAGGATGCTGCTGCAACTGTTGTTGCTGCTGCTGCTGATTATGTTGATGACTAGAGTGATGCGACTGACTGCGTACGCGATGTTGTGGTGCATATAGGAAATTGTCCGATTTTGGTGACGTGATTGCTTCCTGATCCGGTGACTGCCAACCGTAACGGCTCTGTGTCTGATGGAGGCCAAAAAAAAAAGAAAAAAGAGACAAGCCGAAAGAGGAAAGTAAACAAAAATTAAACATTAATTTCGTACACAAAGCACGCGTCCCAGACCCAAATAGCCAACAAACGCTATGCACGTCCGATGTGGGCCACTCTCTCTCTCTCTACTTAACTTATTCGCAATGAACTTACATGGCCTTGAATAGGCGAGACTTCACGACGTCTGACTGGACTCGAAATAACACTGCCACAGCCGCTACCACTTCCACTGCCACAGCCACCAACTCCTCCACCTGTACCATTGTGATGATTAGCACCGAATGAGGACATCGTGCCGGGCGCTATTACCGTTGTCATTGTTGGCGCCGAAGTCGCGGACGAGTTGTTGGCAGTGATTGATGTTGACGTAGAGGACGCGCCATTGCTGTGCGCGTGATGAAGCGAATATATGGCGTTTGCATTGGTGCTGGAAATCTTCTTGTTATTGCTTGTGTAATGCTGATACGCCTCATGACTGCAGCCTGCGGCATTGGCGGCACTGACAGTGCTGCTAAAGAGAAAATGCGGCAAAAAACAAAATTAAAAAACAAATACTGTCTGTATAAATGTGTTTTTGTTAGCTTTGCTGACAAAGTAAAACTCGAACTGAATCAGAATGTGCAAATATTTTCTCGACTCTCTTATTTTACCTGCTTCCTGTTTTATTTTTGGCACCCTTCTTTCGCGGTCGCCCGATGTGGTTTTCCATCCATGAACGCAATTTCGATCCGAACATCGTGTCCGGGTTTTATAAATATATTTATATATATGTATGTGATCGATGTAACTTAAAATAGCTTTTTCGTATTCTTATTTCTATGTAATTATTGACTTTAACATTTTAGTCTATTTCCTGTATGTGTTGACATCAATGGACGGATTTCGTCACCAAAGAACTGGAAAAATTGAGGGAAAATGTAGTTTTAAATCGAATATAGAAAAAGTAAGCAAAAAAAAGTAAATTATAGATTAATAAAAGATTATTAACTAATCGAAAATAACCATTTTTTGACTTTGTAAATGAATTTTATGAATAAAATTATTTTGATTGTCGGGTGCGTTAAACCGAGGACTAATTAAACCATCAATTTTCACGTTAATGAGTACAAAAGTGCAATAGCTTTTCAATTTCAACACTTTTTTTAAATCTAGTAAATTAACCAGTAACTAGAAAAAAAAAATAGAAAACAGAAATTCAAGTTATACCGATTGGCACTGATGTTGTTGTTGTAACTGCAAAAAAAATTTGAAAATTGGTTCCGGAAATTTTTTTTAATAACTTTCGTATTTATTTACTGAGCCTGCTTTGGCATCGAAGGTCTCACAATAAGTTATAAAACTTTAATAAAATCGCTAGAAATGCACTCCTAGCGCTGCGTTGCTCTTTGCAAAGGTAGAAGGTCCCTTCTCTTGAGGTGTAATAAGTCAAACTGTTGCGGAGGTCAAGGTGTGCGAGTATTTCTATTTTACGATTTCAATCTCCTCATTGATGTTGTATACATATATTTATATCTCTGTGGATATTTTCATTACGCGTGTACCATGGTTATTATTCCTAAATATATACATATATATTTTTCATCATTATAAAGGGGAACTTTGTTTTGAACGCTGATCACATATTTCTGCTAAAATACAGCACCTCAAACTTAAAACCGCCAATCTAAATTGGTTACTGAGAAAAAATTCAAGTTTATACTTTGATCATAAAATCCTTCTATATAATTCTGTCATAAAGCCAATATGGATATATGGAATACAATTATGGGGCTCTGTCCTGCGCAATTAGTGCCCAATAAATACATCGATTCGAATCCAAAACGCTGCGATACCTCACAGGTGCACCTTGATATATGTGCAACGAAAATATACATAGAGACCTTGAAATACCAGAACACAGAAATGGCAAATACTCTGGAAAATAAACCTGTCGAAACTGCAAAATCATCTGCACTCTCTAGGGAACTTTTATCCAGCCCAGCAAGACGAACTTGCCTTCGAAAAAGCGATCTGTCAGTATCATGAAGAGCAACATTTTACCTGAAGGCCATTGCTATTAATGGATTAAAGTAGTAATCTAGTAGTTATTAAGATTTTAAAACCAATTGTTAGTAGATTCTTTGATTTTCTTTGATGTGTTAAAAAAAAACTTTTATGCCCCATTTTGCAAGCCATTCTTCAATTGGTTAATCTTCTCTTGTAACCAAGAACACAACTTTACAGAACAACAACTCCTTTGTTACGTACTCATTCAAAAATTGCTTTTAGCCGGCGACGAAACGTTTCGACACAACCAATTCAAAATAATTTGCTACTGTGAGGTGTTGTCCATTCGAATGTGCAGAAGTTTCCCATTATCAAATGAGGTAGCTTATTACCTTTGTCATTATAAAGGATACTTTTTTGTGAGAAGAGGAACAGGCATCCATCTATTAGAAAGCATGCGATTTATCGTTCGATTCGTTTGAGTTTGGTAAGCACTGGGGTGCGCTTTTTCAACTGGCGGTGCTGTTTTACTAACGCTGATGATTTTCATATGTATGTACATATGCATTGCGGATACAATCAGATTTTGAAAGCCTTTCAAAGCACACTAAATTAACTACAAGGACATACAATAATCATCCTACTTCTTCCCCGCAAGCCAACATATGACCTGATAACATTTCTCAAAACCATCGAAAGATATTCACTACTTAGGTAAACCGTCTGCAATATTCTTAGGGATTTTATTGTTTTTTAATTACCTTTCTTTTTTATTAAATTAATAATTTTTTGGTTAGTCAAAATTTAAGTCCCTAACCTTTCATATTGTTGCATGCACTTACTACTCAAAAAAATGTTGCAACAATACAGCTTAATATCACAATAATACTAATAGCTAATGAACCGAATCGAGTCTCGAATTCCGAGTTTTGTTAGAAACTCGAGTTCTCTCCACACTAACATCTCAGCTGGAGTGAATAACAACATCTTTCTTTCTCTGCCTTTGTTCTCAAGAAAAATGTTAAGATGCATCGCAAAAGCTTTCATGCGAATTTTCGTGGGATAAGCGCCTTAATAACTCATATACATAGTAAGTATTAGGTAAAGTAAAAAGTTCGTTCGGTTTTTTATTTATTTTTCAAAATATGATAACTTTGTGTACATTTGTCCGCTTTAAGTCAAGTAAGCGCCGTTTTGTTCGTAAACTTGTTGCCAACGAGATGTCAACTTAATTATACCCCTCTCGTAGAAGGTTGCGTCCCTATTGGCAAAAAAATTGGAGAGCAAATTTTCACAGGCCTCTCTAGAAGCCAACTTCTCACCATTAAGCGCGTTCGGCATGGACAGGAAAGGGTGGTGATCACTTGGTGCCAGGTACGGACTATAAAGTGGGTGCATTAGGACCTCCCATCCGAGCCCGTCACCAAAGACGTGCGTGGCCTGGCGTTGTCCTTATGGAACACAATCCGGCCTCTGTTGGTCAAAGATAGCCTCTTCTGGATGAGTGCTGCCTTCAAGCGATCCATTTGTTGGCAGTAGAGGGCCGAATTGAGCGTTTGGCCATAGGGCCGAAAAAAATCTGGATGGTTCCAGTATAAAAACCCGACTACCGCGTGAGCTATTGGATTTTATTCGACAGGCATGCATTACCTGGGGTAAATTCTTGAACCCCTAATTCGCAGTGGTTCTAGATATCTATGTCTTAGTTTGGTATACCCGCAAAACATACACGGCTATGCAAACTGTCGCTAAAGAACATCAAAAACTCTGTCAGAATTGGAAATACCCCTGAAAATAATATGAGATTCAGAGCTTAATACAGAAAATACGATCTTCTACTGCCACATGCCGAAGATATAGAAATATGAAGACATTGACACTGGCTACGTCACGTCATCCGGATGGACGCAAACATCCTAGCTTTGAAATTGTTACTCCTGAAAAAAAATTGATTTTATCTTTAACTGATAAAATTTAAAAGTGTGTTTGAAGAATAACAAAGTGAACTGGAGATTGGAAGTATGATCAATCCCACAACTGTCGCCAACTATCGCGGAATAGATCCTCTCTATATCAATATGATAGAACTAATGGGACCATCATAGAGCAGATATTCACCATGTGATAAATCCTGGACCTTTCGATACCCAAAAAAGTTCAGCAAGATGTCTCTTTCTCTTCAGACGCGCCTTTAGTTCTACTTTCTCCAGAGTAGGCAAAGAAGGAAATCAAATAGTTATGGTGGGGAACAAGGAATAACGAAATATCTCCTGTCGTAGAAATAATAATGTCAGCTTCAAAATCCAACCCAGAATATTTTCTTTGGATTGAGTGGACAATTGAAAAGTAAAGTCCTATCCAACCTATCTTAGGTTATACTCTAGAAGAAGTGCACCAATGCCGTTTTCCTGAATGTTGCAGAAGCATGTGGTCGCCGATGAGTCGGCATTAGGAGCCTTCGAGAGTGGAGGTTTTCAAAAGACTTCGTCATGATAGCCGAGGCAATCGCTGTAGCGCTTAAAGCCGCCCGGATCTAATCTCGACAGAGACAAATTAATTTTTAATCTTATTTTTTTTTTAATATTTAATTTAGTTTTAATTTTTTTTAATATTAACGGAAATTTTTAGTTTTATTTTTAAATTTTTGGTGATACAGGAATTTTTACCTCCACGTCATTCGTATTTTGGTTTTGTTTTTAGTATGACACAGCTGAGTTTTATTTCCTAAAAAGTTCTGTTGAAGTGCGCAAATGTCGGGCCTTCATATAATATATCATAACGGTAGTCTGATGGTTAGAGTTCTTCACTGGGGTGCGTTAATGTCTCGGTTCGATTCTCGCATCCAGCGAACTGAAACTTATTTAATTTCGTTTTTTTTTTAGTTCAACAGGCCTAAATGAACTAGTATTAAACTAGTATGAAGCTGATGCATAGTAAGACATTTGTCGACTCGTAGGTAGTTGCTTACATGGAAAATGGATGAAGAAGAACTAGGTGGTGTAAAAAGGTAAACTAGTTGAGTTCTAGTTGACCACTAGTATTTTCCCCTGCAAGGACTCTTCTCTACACCAGTTTCAGGTGTACAAAAGATTAGCATTCAATACATGCAATTCGTTTGTAAAATGATTTTATCCTTTAACTATTCAGCCATTCAATTAAATTCAATTAAATTGTTACACAGAAAATTTATATTCAATTTTAACTTAGCATCGAATGTGAATATGTGCATACTATTAACTACGTATATATATGTACATATGTACGAGTATGCATTCGTGATTAGATGAGCTTTATAACTCCATAGCGAACTTACTCTATTTTGCAAGCTTTTCAGTTTGAGACAATAGCTTCCAGTTGTCCCAGTTCTGTCAACGTTTCATATCAAGTAACCGACAGGCGGATGTAAAAGTATGTACCTTCACACAACAACACAAAAGAACTCTGCATTGGCAGGCCGACGAGCCGACATGGAGTCAAACAGTCTAGAATTGAATTAACTAGCTGGCAGCTGAGCTCATACCCTTTACGGCAAACGGCTATAAAAATGCACTATTCAGATAAGAAAGTATTGGTTGTAACGGTATATGAAGGATGCGAATATCCGGTACCACCCGCGCTCAAAATCAATAGGGGGCGCAAGTTACAACGACACATTTCGTTTTGATTGAAAAAACCACAATCAGCAGAGTCGACGGAACCACATGTTCTCTGCGGCATGGTTGCGCATTTTATGTGATTTAATATTTAAATCGAAAGGCAATTATTGAATTGGAGCATTCAGGTAAAGTTATTGTTCATTATTATTTTTTTTTTTCATTGAACTGTCTTCAGTTAGTGAATTTGCTGGATTGCAGACATGTAGTTGACTCAGACCGAAGAAACTATTATGATATTAAAGTCCCAAAGCTCAAAAAAAAAGTCCATCTCATCTTCTTAAATGTTTGACCACTAAATTTCTTCAATGAACTTCAATTATTATTTTTCAAAATATTTTTTTTTTTAAACATGCTCTTTTGCTAAATGACTTTTGGCCGATTTTAAAGAGATAAAAATTTCAACGTTCAAAGAATTGATTCAACTCATTTTTAAAAGTTTGCTCCGTAACGAATGATTTTCTATTAAAATGGTTTGGAAAAAGCTATAGTAATTTGATGAGTGTTGAATGACAGGCCATAATTAGGATCAGTTCCCTTTGAGCTGTGTTAATTTTTGCTGAATTATGAAAAGAGAAGAGAGAGAACTTCTCAATTAACAGGCGCGCTTTCGAGATGAAAACGAAAGCCAAAACACTAAAAGCCATGCGACATACTACAAAGATTTGTTTTACTTTTGCTCAAAAACTTTGTATTTCACTTTTTACATTTCGGTTTAACCAAGGGGAAATGTTATGGAAAGTTTCTTTATTATATTAAGTAAAGAAGGAACAGGCAGGCATAAAAATGGTGTATCAAGCGCTAATTTGGCCCAGGCTATAATACATCGAACAGCGCTCTTACCTGTCTACCTAAGTAAGAACCATCTTCGAATGGAGACAAACAATAAAAAGTCGCTTGTTTTGATTACTGGAACCTTCTGGAAAATTAGAAAGATGGCATACTGTTACCAAATATAAGGTTGTCAAATATCTCCCTTCCTCTTTTTTGTCTTTTGAATTTCGCGGCTATGTACAAAGCGCTACAGAGCTCGTAGCGGCAACACTATACATAATTTGAAAGGTCTTGACATAACCTACAAAACAGCGCTATGCATGATTAGTTTGGATATTGCGTTCAACAGTTATAGACGTGTAAACAAGGAGTTTACTAACGCCGAAATTCGCGCTATTTTAAAGTTTTCCTTCGTTAAAAGCAAATCCGCTAGAGAAACGTTCCGTGAGATAATTGGTGTTTTGGGGAATGGTAATCTATCACTTCGAACCGCGGAGGAATGGTTTCGACGATTCAGAGCCGGTGAAAACGACACCATGGATAAGCCAGCCGGCAGAAGACCTGTGACGACAAATACCGATCGAATCATGGAATACATCGAGTCAGACCGGCATATGGCATCTCGTGACATCGCCCAGGAGATAGGAGTTAGTCACCAAACCATTTTGAACCATCTGCAGAAGGCTGATGTTTGGGTGCCGCATAATTTGACGCAAAAAAACCTTCTGGACCGAATCAACGCCTGCGATTAGCTGCTGAAACGGAACGAAGTCGACCCATTCTTGAAGCGGATGGTGACTGGCGACGAAAAATCACATACGGATCACATATGACAATATCAAGCGAAAACGGTCGTGGTCGAAGGCCGGTGAATCGTCCCAAACAGTGGCCAAGCCGGGATTGACGGCCAGGAAGGTTTTGCTGTGTGTTTGGTGGGATTGGAAGGGAATCATCCACTATGAGCTGCTCCCATATGGCCAGACGCTTAATTCTACCATCTACTGCGAACAACTGGACCGCTTGAAGCAGGCGATCGACCAGAAGCGTCCAGAATTGGCCAACAGGAAGGGTGTAGTGTTCCACCAGGACAACGCCAGACCACACACTTCGTTGATGACTCGTCAGAAGCTACGGGAGCTCGGATGGGAGGTTTTATCGCATCCACCATATAGCCCGGACGTAGCGCCAAGTGATTACCACCTGTTCCTGTCCATGGCGAATGCCCTTGGTGGTGTGAAGTTGAACTCAAAAGAGGCTTGTGAAAAGTGGCTGTCCGAATTCTTCGCAAATAAGGAGGGGGGCTTCTACGAGGAAGGTATTATGAAGTTGCCGTCTAGATGGAAACAGATCATCGAACAAAACGGCGCATATTTTAACTAAATCCGATCACTGTGACACTTTTTATAACGCATTGAATGAAGAGCAAAAAAGCGGAAGGGAGATATTTGACAATCAATATTATGTGTGATTACATCCATCTCGCAAGACATCTCGATTTCAATGATTACACTAGGTTTAGCTATGCCAATTCTTAGAAAAGAGTTCTGGTAGGAGTTTTCGATTTTCGCTGTGCAAAAGTATTCTTATTGTATATTCATTTCAAAGGTACCGTCGTTTCGCGTCGTTTTCAGTAGATGTCATTTGTTTCAGCGTGAACAACAATTTGTTTCATTCATTTAAAAATGTCGAAATTTGTACCGGATAAAGTGTTTTTGCGGCGAATTCTTCTTCATTACTTTATCATGAAGAAAAGTGCTACCGATCCCATCGCCAACGTATTGCACTGGATGTTTATGGTGACCATGCTTTAGCCAAACGAACGTGCGAAAAGTGGTTTGCACGGTTTAAAAGTGATTATTTCGACTTAGACGACGGGCGGCCGAAGAATTCGTCTTAATTCTTCTAAAAAAACCGTTTACACCAAAAATATATGTTTATGTTAATATCTAAAAGAAAGCATTGTTTTTGTGAAAGTTACTTTAAAATGCAATCTCACCTCGAATTACAATAAAACAGCTCAAAATATAGTCACGAAGACGAGCGGAATATTAAAAAATAATTTTAATCAATAATTTCAAGGATGTCTGAGTACTCCCACGTACCAAATGCTGCTCGTGTATTTTCAAGCTCTTCCTTTTATTAATCCTTTTTTTTTTTTTGATTATAAAGCATATCAATAAACATTTTGTAAATTCAAATTCAACTTATTCGCTTGAGCTACGTACAATTTGTATTAATTGAATTCAGGCCCACAAGTAAAACTCGGCATCCCAAATTTTATTTTGCATTCGAATATGTTTAGCGACATTTGGGAATTGTATTGAATATCAAAAGCACTTTTATAAAAAAAAAAAAATAAACAAGTATTGTAAGAAGCTGAAACGCCCAAATTTATTTTATCGTTTCCTTAACCTCTGCGCTCAGTTAAACTTTAAACCCGAATTCCTTGAATTATGTGCTATCTCTGCATGCCAATACAACGGCCAAGCAACTATTGTGTATGTGTACGAGTAAGTAGATACTTTTGGGTGGATTTTGATTACACTATTGGGGCACATTTGCAATTGCATGCCATCATTATCCACTGCCATTCAAATCCTGGCATAATCATCAGCCAAGTAAGGGATCATCCGAGAAATGGCACTACTCCTCATAAAAATGGAAAATAAAGCCAACGAACGAAAGAATATGTAAAATCTTATAGAATACACTACGCTGTGCACCTCGGATTGGTAAGATGAGTACTAAGATTTTTATTTACTATTTTTGCTGGCGAAATTTCAAATTAATGTACGAATAGAAAAGTACAAGCTGAAGTTCACCAATGAATGAATAGTAGAACTGCGTGCGGGGGTGCTGCTGTAGCGGGTGGTGAATACAAAAGGATACAAAGTATGTATGCCTATGAATATATGTAGAAGCGAACGTTTCCCAGCAAAATTACACTAAATAAAGACAGTGCTTACAGCTTGTTGTTGTTGGTACTCGCATTGACAGGCGCAGCGCTTGTCATTGCTATATAGCAGTTGAAAAGCTGAAAAGCCTCCAGGGAACATTTTATGCTGATAAGAAAAATTCAATGCAAAAGCTTGCCTGCCATGCCACGCCATGTCACCCTCACCCACCATCATGCAGCTGCGCCTTACCCTTAACGACCCACTAAAGGAACGCCTGCAGTGTGCCAACAAAGCTTGTGCCGTACACTGCGCCCGCAACGAATTTTGACTACCGCAAGGGGAGTAATAGTTACACGAGTATTCTACTAGTTTACTAAACACACAAAAGTACGCACATCTACATACATGTCCTTACATATCTTGATGAGCCAAAGCTGAATGTATAGTTGGCCAGGCCTACACAGAGTGTAGAGTGGCGCAGGCCAGGGGAGGTGAAGGTACGTACACTATTTGTGCACAAATACATTTGGTGTGCCAGTATAAACATATGTATGTCTGTGCAAATCTTTGCGGTTGTATTTGAAGGCATAAACTTGCATGCATACATATGTATGTATATTTACATGTATGTATATATATGTATGCGTGTACATCTGTGCTGTGCCGGAATGTGGCATCATTTACCTTATCCTTTGCGAATTCTGCAGCCGCCATCGCATCCTCATCAGCATCATCATCAACAGTAGTAGTACATCCTTCATATCCTTTGGCTTATTGTTTTAGTAACAAAGCGGAAATGTGTCCAACAACACTAGCAACAACGTTCTTTACTAGGACATGCGATAACCGTACACACCGCTAGAGTAAAATGTGAAATAGTTGTCGTAATAACAGTTCCTTCCTCCTACGCTACAGCCCACCTTCGCCGGATGCTTCCTATCGCCTGCTCTGCTTTTTCGGCTTTCTTCTTTTACGGCTGTTTTCCTCTGTTTGTTTACCGTTTGTCGCTCAAAAATGCTTTCCCACAATTTGTTTGTTTATTTTTGTTGCGACTGCACTAGAATTCAGAATTTGTTAAAATTGTTTGTTTGTTGTTGTTGTTGTTGGAGAGTGCCAGAACACTCGAACGCCAGAAAGACTAAGAGAGAGCGCGACTTATGAGTATGTGTGCGCGCTACTGTGTGTAGGTGAGCTTCCGATTTCGAGTGCCGGTTTGTCTATTCGGTTCGCCTGGGTAGCTCTACTACAAACGTTAACTGTTTGTTTGTTGGCATACACGGAGGATGTGCGCTATATCCCTTCGGCTATATCACGTAACGCCGCAAGAGGGTCGAGTGAGGGCAGGCGGTTACTAGTCTTGGGCTGTGTGTTTGTGTGTTTGTGTGTGTGTCTGTGTGTCTGTGTTGTTGTAAGCGTTCAAGCAAAAGACGTTGACTGGCAAAGTGGCGCTGGAGGTGAGTTTGCTGTGATTATGAGTAAATGCGAATGCAACAAGGGTGGGTTGATGGTGGTGAGTTGTTGCTGTTGCTGTTGCTGTCGCTACTGCTACAGTTACTTTTGTTATTGTAAATGTTTCGGTTGCTTTATGTTGCTGTAGTTATTCTTCTTATTATTGTTGGAATTATTCGGTCATGTTCTTTGGTTCGTATTGATAACGGTGGTATTGGTTGGATTCTTTTTTATTGTTATTGTTGTTGTTCCTTAAAGTGAAAGATTCGTCTTCTCGTCAGAAGTTTTCATTCTGTCGGAATTTTCTGTATTAGATCAATTTTTTGCAGACACATACATACATACATACATCTACTGATATGTATGTATTTGTAAATATGTATATTACTGATGTCCACGTACAACAAATCTATATGTTTATCAACGCACACGTGCGCAAATCAATACAAACACATAAATAATAATTACGAGATTTGTATGCGCTTTTGCGTGTACATTTTTGCAAAACAAATTATGTCTAATACACATAAGTAACTTCTTTTTATAATTTTTTTTTCACCTCCACACACACTAACAAAATATTGCTTTTCGTAATTGAAAATGGATTTTTTGAAAATTCATTTAATTTTTCACTAATGCACATTTATATACATATGTATGTATGTATGTTTGTACATACGTGTTTCAATTTTACACAATTTCCATATAGTGAATATTTATTTATGCTGATTTGTTCAATTTTACATCGTTAACGTATCCACACATTCCTCTTCTTACACTGCGCTTTCTGCTCTCTCGTCCATAATTTGCATCAGCATCCAGCTGCCGACACACTAATAAACGATGCTTATACACATATAAATAGCGTCTAGCCGTTTTAAATTATTTTCCATCAATTTTCCGAATTTTCCAGCCAATTTCCTTGCAACGTATTTTCTGTGCATTTGGTTTTCATTCTTTCACAATTTTCTCAATCAACATACACTTTTTTCACTTATCCCCCGCTTGCTCTCGTTGTTGCAAATAAAATGAAAATTGTTTACAAAATAAAGGTATTGAAAAGCGTTGAAATGTGCAAAATAGCCGCAACGATGGCTAGCCGTCGACGGAGTAACACTGTAACTTGACAATGGATAACGGTTATTTTTTTCATTTACAATGTATACACTGCCTTGCTCCTTTTTATTCCTGTATTTGAATGAGTTTATATGTATGCCGCAGCGTCGAATAAGTTGATTGTGTATATGTGTGTGTGTAGGTACACGTACCGTTATTTGCCGTTTACCGGAAATGGGTCCGCAACGTTTGAGATGTACCAAGCAACTGATTCCGCTACCATTGGCATTCGCAACCCCTGCGTTGGAGCGCCAAAGTTTCTTACAATTGTACATTCTCTCACACACAAGCACACGCGCACATATGTACATTACATACGTTTTTACAAATTGGTTAGCTCAATATTACGCAATGAGAGTGGGCCCAACAAATTTTGGGGCGTAAAATTTGCAAGAAAATCTAAAAGAAAAATTATAAAATTATTTACGTAAAAAAAACAATGCAAATTTAATGTTAAATGTATACAGTAATAGAAATACATATAAACAAATTTTATAATTATCAAAGCTGCATCGTAATGATAAATTTCACGTTAATCAACAAATTTCTTTCGTTTCGGTTGAAACATTTGGAAATATTAATGTTAACGCAGTGAACAGAATAAATTTCTATTCGTTTTTACCCAAAACGAAAAGCTGCCGTTAATGTTAAATCGTTAACAGATAATGTAAAATGTTAACATTGAAGTGTGCTGTTACTGCTGTTACTATCATAGCACGCAGCCAGATTTAAATTAACGTTAACACTCATTAAATCATTTCGTTAAGTTTATTTTCCCTATTAGCAAAATGAAATTACATCGTTACGTTTGCTGATTGTTGAGCATCTAAGAGTATAATATATGTAGGTATGTATAGATTTGTTGGAAAACATCAAGACGCAAAACCACAAATCGGAGAAGGATCTCAGCCGAAAAAATCGCTTCAGCGGTTACAAAACGCCAATTATAAATATATACATACATATATATATATATGAATAAAAAAACAGTAAAATATTTGATTAGAAATATCATCAGGATCTAGTTTAACAAGCAGTTTTCTTTGGAATAATTTCTAGAAATTCGCTCTGGCGCTTATAAAAGCGCAAATTATTTATATTTAGTTGTATAACTATATTGATTAATATAAATTAAGCACAAACTAATGAAATTATCCATTTTTAATGGCTTTTTGGAAGGCAGAGTAGAGAAAAGACGTTGTTTTCGATTTTGAATAATTTCTTTGTAATAACAATTGTATTTTACTTTAACTCTTTTTACATATATAAAAATAAATATATATATATATTTATATACGGATGAAGACGGAGATGATATATGTATTGAAAAAAAACTGCTCGGCTTAAAACTCAATAAAATTGTTAATAACTATGCACATTTTAAATAATTTTCATTGCATTCTTTCATGATCATCATTTTAATTTTACGATGCCTTGCTATCTTCTTCAATATTTTTTCATATATTCGAAAGAAAATCCATTTAAATATGGAAATATAGAAAATAATTAATTAAATGAAATTGTATTTAATTACATATTCACTTATCATGCTTAATAAATATCGTTATAAACTGCGTTTAAACCTCTAGACCCACTTTCCAACTCACTGCCGCTCCTGTCATTCACTTCTCTCCAAATTTCGTTTTGTCCGGCGCAGGCGCATTTTGAAGGTCTCGCTCTCCATTGCAAGCGACCTTACTTGCATATTAAATTAAATTAGCTGTAGACGATGAGTTTGCAACATTAACGGTGTTTTTAATAGCCAGCTTAAGGAATGCAATAAATTCTGATGAAAGCGGATTTAAGATTCAAGTAGTAAGCGAAAAATAAAAAATCAACCCTCACCTTTGGCTAATAAAAGCGGCCTTTCTAGTTTGAGTTCCATTTGAAAAAGTTAGTTCAAGTGCAAATGAACTGATTTGAAATGAGTGTCATTAACTGTATTTTAATTAATAGCTTTATTTGCAGAAGATACAAGCTGAATGCGAGTCATTGCTGTGATATGTTGGGAAATGTTTTGAATGTTTGATGCAATTCTGCTCTAATTATGAAAGCATGGCTGGAATTTTCCAGCCTACAATTGGGAAACTAGTTGATATGCTCTAAAGAATTAAATTTCTTGATACACAAGGTAATCGAAGTAAAAATTACTGAAGAAATTACGGGCTGCACTGAGGGCTGGGTAATGGCTATATCGATTCCTCCACATCTATGACTCTGCAGCTGCCTCAAATGTGGTTAGAGAAGCCTACATTATTCTATCATGAGCTCCAACATATAATGTCCGGTTCTTTCGCAGGCTTTTATTCCCATGGAGGTCCCATTCAAAAAGAGTAGCGTCTTGGTTGTCTCCTCTTTAATCAGATACAATATACGTATGTCTCGTCACGTTTCATGTGATTTCTCCCTACCATCAGATACATTTCCGAGGAAAAAATTATGTCGTCGGCCTCGCAGTTATCTGGGAAGTCCCTATAACCAAGTACCCAAACAATATACATTTCGTATACAGAAGCGGGTTTGCATGAGACTTCTCAGCAACTTGTTCCACTTTTGAGGTTGTGTGATTACATTGAATACATTGATACAGCATTTTCCCATTAAACCCTTTCGGTGGTATTTGTTAAGAAAGCGTTGTCGAAACTTTGGTGTTTTGCAGTTCGTATGAAGTATTCCATACCAGTCTGACATGAGAACATTGAAGAGAATTTGAAAAGCCTTTGCAAAACTTGAAGTCCGCTTGATGTCAAAGTACCTGGCAGTTACTCCGTATACTAATACGAGTCTTATTACCACTTTTTATAGTCAGTATTGAATATATGGTCTTAGCTTCCGTCTTTAACCATTCGCCGACTTGCAGGCGTAGATTGTGGTCACAGCTTTTCCACTCCTTCTTCGATTCCAGATGAGTTTACATTCTAAGATTATACCTAAGTATTTAACCTCAGTAGAAAGAATAATGTCAATGCCTTTGGGTAAGGGCGAGCGGCCTCTGAATCTTCTGTTGAAGGATATCAATATAAATTTGGCAGATTGTGTGAAGGACATTTTAAGTAGATCACGTAGAGCTTAGAGAAAAAGAATCTCTCAAAGATATTTGGATTTTTATAACTAGTTTTTCCGCCTTTTATTTTGAAGATTACTTTCGCCTATGCAGATATAAAGGTAATGTACCCCATGTCGAGACAGGCTGAGTAAATTATAGACGATGATGGGGTCAGGATGTCTACGTCTCTAGTACGGGGTGAAGGATAAAATCTAGTCTCAGAGAATTGAAGGGTTGTAATGGTCTTTTTGACCTTTACACCCGTCTTGTCTTATATGGCATGCGAGCTGTTTTGAGCAGCCATTTCCCAGGCCTCAAAAGCAGTGTTACAGGTTTGGGTAACAAAGTTTACCGCTTCATTGATTTTTGACGATGAGTCTCAGCTAAACTTATCATGAGAGCGATATTTGCAAAGAAATATGACAGTGTCTTCCTGAATTTAGTCCAGTGAGCACGTAGTGATTCAGGGTAATCGCAAGCTGAGATTGGAGGATGTAGAGGTGGCCTAAAAAGGGGTGTGCAACCCTTCAAGCCATTCTATCAGCTATGAAACGCTCATCTCTTTCCAGAGAAAGAGGTACATATTTGCCTGAGCACCAATAGTTAGGGGTATCTGATTCTATAAGAGAAAGACCTAATCTGGTAGTCTGAACCAATGATAGTGGATTATAAGATCTTATTTATCATACTGTATGATCGATATCAACACCATTATATACTTAATTTTTTTATTTAAATTAGATTAGTCAATTTAGAGTCAGCCATTGTATTACTTCGTCCACAATTCCTCAGAGTTCTTGTTTCTACATAAAGTCTCAAGTATACTTCAATATGGCATCACTATAATAACAGCTGATTATATGACAGCACACATATGGTGTAATTGGCAAATTTCGAAAATGCGTGCAATATGAAATTTAGGTGTATTTATTTTTGATTTGTTTGGGGTCGCAGTTTAAATTTCGGGTCTGTTAAATAATATCGTTAACAGAGTTGTGTGTGCACAACTGTTGAATATTACTTGCAGCTAAAACCAGATAAGTCATTAGTTTTTGTCGAAACACTTTAAAATGAAGTGTTACTACGAAGTGCTAGGAATTGAGCGAGATGCAACCGATGCTGATATAAAAACAGCATATCGCAAACTGGCTTTGCGTTGGCATCCTGATAAAAACCTTGATGCACTGAATGAGGCAAAAGAACGTTTCCAACTCATTCAACAAGCTTACGAAGTTTTATCTGATCCACAAGAACGAGCTTGGTATGATAATCATCGTGATCAAATATTGCGTGGCAAAAACTCTGACTATACGGAGAACTGTTTAGATGTTTTTGAGTATTTTACTTCTTCCTGTTTCCGTGGATATGAAGATGACGAAAAGGGATTTTATGCAGTGTATAGAGAGGTTTTCAAAAAGATTGCTGCAGAAGATGCTGAATTCATGGATGACGAGGATGAAGTAGATCAGATACCGTCTTTTGGTGATTCGAAAAGTAATTATGAGGATGTTGTGGCGCCTTTCTATGCATATTGGCAAGCTTATTGTACAAAGAAAACATACACATGGCTATGCCCATATGACGTGAAAGAAATAAGAGATCGACGAGTTCTTCGTGAGGTTGAAAAAGAAATGAAAAAAGTCACCCAGAAAGCACGGAAGGAACGCAATGAGGAGGTAAGTGATACGAAATTTATATGAAATGAAATGAAATTTCATAATTTCTTTCGTTTATAAACTTTCAGGTGAGGAACCTGGTGTCATTTGTGCGAAAGCGGGACAAACGTGTGCAAGCATACAGAAAACTTTTGGAAGAACGCGCAATACAAAACCGAAAAAAACAAGAGCAAAATAGACTAGAGCAAATACGTAAGCGTCAACGTGAGCTTCAAGAAATGCGTGAAAATATTAAGCAAAGTGAACATCATTTTGATGATTACGAAGCCCAACTAAAGCAATTAGCACAAGATTATGGGGATAGCAGCGCTGAGGATGAAAGTGAAACCTGTGATGAGGAAGAAGAAGAGAAAGAAATTGAAGTTTTGGAATCTGGAGAAGAAGATTTTTACGTGGATGAACTGTATTGTGTAGCTTGTAATAAAGCATTTAAAAACAAGAATGGGTATGCAAATCACGAAACAAGCAAAAAGCACCGGGAAGCTCTAGAACGTATGAAACTGGAAATGCAAGCTGAAGAGGAAGCTTTTCAAGACAGCAATGAAGATGCGAGTTCGGATAAGAGTGAAGAACAGAGTGAATTTGAGGATTTGGAAGTAAACGAAAGTGAGCCAGATGAGTCATTTGAAGAACAATCGGCGGATAATGATAGTTGTGATGACCCCATTTTACAACATGATATAGAAGACTCAGACTTAGATGAAGAACTGATTGCCAATAAAAAATCGAAGAAAACTAGAAGGGCTCTAAAGAATGCCAAGTTAAATAATGCGAAAGTATCACCTTCCGCTGATAGGCATGAAGAATCAATAGCGTCTGACTTTCTGGCGCAAGCGAAAATAGTTGATAGTGATGATGAAGACTGGAATAGCAGCAATAAAAAATCTGCCCGTAAAAATAAAAGCAAAAAACCGGCGAAAAAGAGTTTGGTAGTAGAGGAAAAGCCAAATTTTTCAAAACAAGATACTAAAGTTCTAGAAGAGGTAAATCTAAGAACTGAAGAAAAACTATTTGAAAAAGAAATTTTAAAAGACAAAGCTGATGAAACCAGAAAGTCTCTACCTAAAACAAAGCCAAATGTCGATACAAATTCTACAACGATATCAAATGTGTGCGTCACATGTAAAGCGAATTTTTCATCTAAAAATAAACTTTTTGCTCATCTGAAGATCACTAATCATGGAGTTTTCATACCGAAAACGAAAACGGAAGTAAAAACAACTTCATCTGACGGTAAAAGTAGAAAGAATAAAGGAAAAAAGAAGTAAATTAGCATCTGTCACCCCATCGATTTAACCATTGTTTAAAGATGTTCATCGAAGAAATTTCGAAATTTAAACTTAATGTTGTTTAAAAGACAATATAATGTAATTATTTTGAACTCCAGAAAAAAATCTGTGGCATTAAAAATGTTTGGAAGTTACAATAAATACTTACCTTACAGTTTTATCAGCGAATATATGGTTTATGTAATGAATGTGTCTGCTAAAATTACCTAAATCTAATAAATTTAATGCTATTGACAAAATAGCTATATAAAGACAAAATCTAATATGTGAATCTTTGAGGATAGATTGAATGTTGTCTAAAAAAATAAAATATTTCTTATGATTTCACAAACGCCTTACTTTTGATAAGTAGGGTCCATCTATATCTACAATACAAAATTTAGTTTGATGTCAATATCGAAAGGTTTTTAAAAAATAACGACCTCTTTGTAACCTGGATTAAAATTCATACATGCATCTATCTTGAATATATTACTATTTATTTCTTTTATTTTTATTCTTTTTTTTTATTTTATTTTTTCTTTCCCTTTTTCTTTTTTTTCAATTTAAATTTTTTTCTTTTAAATTTTTTTCTCATATTTTTTTCATTTCTTTCTTTTATTTTTTTAAATTTATTTTTTTCTTTTATTTTGTATTTTTCTTTTATTTTTTTCATTTCTTTCTTTTATTTTTTTAAATTTTTTTAAATTTTTTTCTTTCATTTTTTTCCTTTTATTTTTTTATTCATTCATTTTTTCTTTCACTTTATTTCTTGAATTTTTTTGTATTTATCTCTTATTTTTTTCATTTCTTTCTTTTATTTTTTTAAATTTTTCCTTTTATTTTTTTATTCATTCATTTTCTTCTTTTATTTTTTATTCTTTCACTTTATTTCTTGAATTTTTTCTTGTATTTTTGCTTTCATTTTTTTTCTTCTATTTTTTCCTTGTATTTTTATCTTATTTCCTTATATTTTTTCTTTAATTTCTTTTTCTTTTTTTTTTTAATTATTTTCTTGTAAATTTTCTTTTATTTTTTTTCTTTAATTTTATATTTTTTGTTCTTTTATTTTGTATTTTTCTTTAATTTTGTATTTTCTTTAATTTTGTAATTTTTTTTCTGTTGGTGGCTTGGTTTCGATTTACTGTCTAATGCGTTGGACAATTTCAGTTGTTTGTTACATATAAAAGTATGTATGTATGTAAGTTAATACATATATCATTTTGCACGTATCACCTACACGGTTCCATCCTCTAAATAATATTAAAAAATGAGTTTTATATACATTATAAATGTGCATACATTTATTCAAACCATACTTTATAGTAACTATGTATATATATATACATACTCGTAAATATAAGTACACTTTCATAAATGCAAAAAAAAATATGTCACTTGAGTTTATGTAGGGAAGATTTCACACAGCTTAGCCTAGTCTATTACATTAATTTCTCTTAAAATTAATAAAAAAGTTTATATGTATAAAATAATTTACAACACAGTTATCTTATTCGATAAATTCGAAATACATTTTTACGATGCGAACATTTGAGGAATTACAATTAATACTTTACATAGAATGGTTTTATGGAATGCATACCAATCGATTGCCCTCTTCGACGCGCCGTTTTACGCGCATGCGCATATTAGATGATTCCGCTTTCAGACTGATGCCGGCGCAAATGAAACAAAGCAAAGCGGCGGCTACAGCACAGTAAAAGGATATGCCTAGACAAAAAACATTTTTTATAATTGGAATAAAATAAGATTTTTGCATATACCAATTGAGCAACCTCCTGGATAGAAAGGTTCGGCATCTGCGCCACACAATACCTGCACACGAGGCGCGCCCCACGCTAATGGATGTAGAAAAATCGCCAACATAATGCTGATCGCTAAAAAGCAAAAATGTTTTTTTTAATGAATTTCATATTGTCTTATAATCGCGTCGTTTGCTATTTCAGCCATACATGGAATGATAAATGACTCACCTGACACAACTTGCGCACAGCCGGTCATATTGTGTATGCTTTTGCCGAAAGCCGATTGCCGGCAACAAGTAACGAGCGTTAACGCCACTGTTATGGAGTGCACGGCGAAGCCCAGTGACATGAAGAACATTGTGGATTTCCACGCACCTGGATAAACACTGTTATCTGTCGCGAAACCATCCAAATCGAAGGGACCACAATTATAACCAGAACTGTGCATCACCTTACAGCGCGTATAAATGCCTACGGAAGGATAACGCACCGATGGTATAGGTACAATCAGCTGAGTGTCATTTTGCGAGAGCAGGCGAGCAGAAGAGCTGGAATCGATACTGACAAATGTTGGATTCGGCCCAATCAACCATTTGGGTGTGACTATCGCAGAGACGATTAACATGTCGGCGATTAGGCTCAACACGAACCAGACTATGCTGCCACCGGTGATGATGATATAACACATACTCGTTTATTGCTTTTATTCTGTCGAAAAAAAATATTGGAATATTGCCCACGGCGAGTGCTATTCGATCCGTCTACGACCGACTGCTGCTGAGCGTGCTCAACGCATTTGAACGCTGGAATGACATGAAAAGAAAATTAAGATATGCAATTAACAACAACAAATATATAAAATTGCAAAGAACTAAGCAAAATATACATATACATATATACATATGTTCCAATATTCTTCCGCCCGCGATTCCACAATGTTTGTGTGACCCATATATTGCTTCCACGTAGTTTGTGAGTAAACAAATTTAATGCTAAAACAAAAAGTATTCCTATTTTCTTTTTGTTGTCGCAACAGAGATACATTCATACTTGTACATACCATACATACATACATAGATATATTCATACAAAACAATAAGCAAATAAAAATCTCTGTGTTGATATACATATTTACATATATACCTAAGAACACCAAAAAAATGACGTCATTGGCGTTTGGTTTTGGTATTTGACTCTTTGTTTACTGAATACTCTCCACACAGCATCAAAAATGAATTGAAACTGACGATCCTAAGCACAAAAGTTCAAACATGTAAATAAGAATATTTATATATACAATACATATGTATATACAATTGACGCTCCCGGCCGAGGGCGATCGCAATTTGAAAATTTAGCTTAATTTTTTATTTAAATTATTTTCTATAACTTTTGAATATTGGTCGCACGGGGATTTTGACCCAAGTCTACCAATAGGCAATGGGCAATGCTAACCACTCGGCTACCGCGGCCGCCAAATAAGAATATACATACTTACAAATAAAAGGAAATGACTTTCTAAACAAATTTTTATCAAGATCGTTTGCGAGGATTCTTTAAACTGCGACTAGTATTTCCTTTTTCCGAATCGTCGTCGCTTCCGGAAGCTTAAGAATGCAGTAACGTCATGGTTACCGTAGCAGACCCTTTGCTTGGAATTTGTTTTGCGGCTCATTTAGTCGACACTGCTTTCTAGTGAATCCAAAATCAATTTGAATGTACAAAAAATACAGTTTTCCAATTAAAAAAAATCATTTTTTAATATAAGTGAACGGATGTTTGATTCAATGTAAAGATGAAGATATACCATTAAAATGGAAAACAATATCAACCAAAAGGCTGGCAGGGCTACGCATCCAAGACCGTATCATTTTTATGAAAATTTCCACCACAAAATCGCCAAGTGGCTATAGTATGGCCTCAATAGCTGCACGAATTCCGTGTTTGACATCTTGAATGAGCTTTTATTTGTGGATGTATACCTTATCTTTCACGTGGCTCCAAATTAAGAAGTCACCAGCTGTTGAATCACAAGGTCTTTGAGAGATAACACCGCGCTGTCTTGCTTGGAAGTAAAGAGCAATGCCTTCCAATTCCGTCCATAAAAAAATCATTAATCATCTCTCTATAACACAAAATCTATTCACCGTAACTGTTTCGAAAAACAAAGCTCCAATGAACCCGCCGGACCATGAACAGCACCAAAAAGTTACTTTTTGAGGATGGATATGCTTTTCAGCAATGAATCTTAAGTTTTCCGAGTACCAGATGCGACAGTTTTGCTTATTGACGTAGCCATCGAGGTAGAATCGCGCCTCATTAGTCAACATGATTTTTCGATGAAATTGCCGATCATTTTCATGCATTTCAAGGAGCTAATAAGGAAAGACACGACGTTATTGACAGTCGACCGTCTTGAATTCAGATATATGTAAGTGGTTGATAAACTGTCATTGCTTTACGCCAAGTTTTTACGCAGCCAACATTTACGAACACTCATTATGATTATCAAGATTTTTTCCGATATCTCGGTATGATTTTCCTTCTTGAAAATGTTAATTCATCAAGTTTTTAACGCCACCCTCTATTGGTTTTGCTTTACGCATTTTTTTTACTTTGCATTCGCTGCTGGAGAAGAAGTCGACTCTAATACCGGGTAAATGTGTATAAGTTGCTAAATCATTGAATATAACGGTACTTTATTTCTAAAGAACTTGCAAAGCACATGCGATGGGTTTTTGTTGCTGTAACCGCAAAATTATTCCACAAAGTATTTTTTGGGAATGTTGTGGGAGGGACAGTCCTTGACCGGTTAAAAAATCCGGGTCGTACCGGTATAGAGACCCGACTGTCACCGGAACTATTGGATTTTTGTCGCCTCTTACGACAGGCATGCCTTACCGCGGGTAAATTCTTGAGCCCCTAACCCGCGGGGGTATTTTTCTTTGATTTTATTAAACTTTTGTTCCGCGTGATTTCATGTTTTTAATAAATTTACCGTTATCTACGCTACTTTGAATATTTTTTTGGATTGTATAGTTGATTAATTATCTACTTCAAATAAACTGCATTCTTGCATTTACTTCAAAATGCTTAATCTCAATAAAAAGTGGAATTTTATGGGTGTATTTAAACTTTTGTCTTTGACTGTATGTACATATATTGATATGGATACAACCGCTGACACATTTTTAATGTATGCCATTATTGCCATTACTGCCATCAACACCTATATAATACTTCAATCAATTGTGATGTACATACATACATTCATAGTTAAGGACACTCCTTTTTATTACCTTCAAGGCACTACCTACACATACATATTTTGTTGTTATTCCACAGCTCATTTACAAATATATTACAACCAAACGGTAGTTAATACAGCTCAAGTTGTAAATAATCAAAGTTCGTGTGGGGAAGCCTCACAGGCGAGTAAACAAACCGCCGGAAGCACAATGACCTGTAAATTATTTCAAATTAGTTAAAACGTACAAATGAAGGGAGCGCAGCAAGACACACCGCACCGAGCTCAACGTGAACAAGGCGTGCGGGGGGAAGACCAGTGCTCGGTCTGTGGTTTATGTAATTGTGTTGCCTTTTGAGGTGATTTAAAGCTTTGCACAGCGACAGTGCGATTTCCAATTTGGTTCTTAGACGTTAGACACTAAACATGCTCATAGCGTCAAGTCGACAATTAACGGCACTATTAATTAAAACATAAACAAAAGCGTATAAGTGGTTGGAGCGCATAATGGCTACTGCTGCGTACTTCCGCCCACTACATGTAGATATGTACATACACGTATATGTGTAATAATGAAATGCATCTAACATTCTAGTTTGTGGCTTAAAGAGCACGTCTATATGAATAATATTAATTAACAGTTCACAGTTTTGTGTGTCGGTTTCTCCTGTGCCATGCATTTCATTTTGTACTTTTCGGCCTCCACAGACAAACCGCGAGCCATGGTAATTGCATGTAATTTAAGTGATAATGGTGATGGTTCCCAATGCGGAAGCTATAAACAAATTGCAACAGACGGAGCCATTGTTGTAACTCAACATTTGACCGCCTAACACTAACGAAGACCATGTACCGCGCATCGCCTGAACTTCAATTACGAAGCTTAGAAGTGACTGCGATGCTGATCTCAGCGCTGCATGTAGTGAACTAAGAACGTACAAACATACATACATACGAGGTGTGACAACTAAGTAATGAGACTGATTCCATAAAAACTTTTATTTCAAAATTCATCTACAACACTGCCATCTCCTTCAAGGTAGTCCCCTTGGGCAGTCATACAACGATTCCAGCACGTTTTCCATGCTTCATAACATTTCTATAACTCTTCGAATGGAATGTTCGCGAGTACTCTCGTCACGCCTCAATCGACTCAAAATGGGTTCCTTTGAATACCGATTTTAATATATGGAACAAAAAAAAAAGTAACAAGGTGACATGTTGTCCCTTTACAGGCCAAATACTGCGACACGCTGACTACGATGCGGCGCGGCGCGTTGTCGTGATGAAGGATCCAGTTACGCTCCAGTCTGAGCGCACCCTGTTGACTCGTTTTCGCAATCTTTCAAGTACTTGGCCGTATATTTGATATACGCTCGCCCCGGTGGAAGAAATTCTTTGTGGACGATGACACTGCTATCAAAAAAAGCAATAATCAACGTTTTCACCTTCGACTTGCTCATGAGAGTTTTTTTCGGACGGGGGGCGTGTTGGGACAACCATTGTGAGCTTTGGCATTTGGTTTCTGGGTCGTATTGAAAAAACCAGCTCTCTTCGCCGGTAATAACTCGCGACGCGTTGTTCTTGATTTCGTTTTCACATTTTCGTGACGAGCACCACGAACACACGTTAACTCAACACGACAAAGCAGGCGAACTAGAGCAGCTAGAGCGATGGCAAATGTATCAATGGAGAGGAGAACGATGGCAGGGGAAGGAAAAGAGAATTTCAAGGACGCAAGATTACCACAATATAATCAGTCTCATTACTTAATTGTCACACCTCGTACATATACAGTGCGCAAAATAGCATAAATATGAAAAATAAATCGAAAAAGTTAAATTTAAAGCAGAAAAATGTATAAGAAATACTCCATACTACACCACTTCACCACCTCACCATTGCTTTTTCATTTATTGGAACCAAATCAAAATCAGCACAGCGCAAGCTGGAGGCGAAGCTCCGTCGAAAAATCGCTTTAACGATAAGAAGGGTTTACATATATATGTGTGTATGTTTTTCCAAAGTTTTCTTCATTTCTTTTCAATATTTAGGAGTAGAAAAGTGGTGAGAATATACTGCAGATACGTACGAGTATCTGTTGACCCTAGTTTTTGAGCCGACCCTCTTATCCGATATCTGGTAAGTTTCTCAATGTTCCTCGTAATCAAATCAAACCACTGAGATTATTTAATATAGATACCTTGTATTTATTTAAGTCTAATGTCTGTCCTTTGTGATGAATATCTAAAGCAGTCACCGGTGCCGGTGGTTGGTCGAATACAAAATTCTATAAAAAATCATAGAAATTTTTCGCGTGCGAGAAGAATGGGCTACACATTCTCAAAATTATCAGTGACCCGAAATTGCGAATGGTCAGTAAGAATTACTCTCAAACGATTACTTTTGTTAAATATGTATTTTGAAATTATTTCAATTAGTAAATAATCCACATAAAAACACTGTATACCAACTTATAGAGATAGCTAGAGCTTATAGAGTGATGCCAGCAGCAGATGCACATTGAACTTGTTGGTAGAACTTGCAAGAAGAAGA